AAAAACTAACCAAAGCAATATTACAGAGTACGTGTGATCCCTATCAAAATTCCAATGGCACTTTTCACAGAAATACAATAAACAGTTCTAAAATTTACATGAACCATAGAAGACCCAGAATAGCTGACGCAAGTTTGAGTAAGAACAAATCTGGAGACTTCACATTCCCTAATTTCAAACTATATATTGCAAAGCTCTGGTAATTAAAAAAATGTGGTATTGGCATAGAAACAAACATTGATCAATGGAGCAGAATATAGAGCCCAGAAATAAAGTTCTGCATATATAGTCAATTTATAATAAAGGAGCCAAGAATCTACAATGGAGAAGGGATACTCTTCAGTAAATGATGCTGGGAAAATTGGATAGCCACCTACGAAAGAATGAAATTGGATCATTATCTCTCATCATACACAAATTAGTCCAGAATGATTAAAGACTTGGATTAAAACGTGAAGCCACAAAACTCCTAGAAAAAAATGCAGACAGGAAGCTCTTTGACATAGGCTTTTAGTGATCATTTTTGAACCTGAGAACAAAAGCAAAAGTAAACAAGTTGGACTATATCAAACAAAAAAATCTAATTAAAAAATGGGCATTTTCCCAAAGAACACCTACAGATGGCTACCAAGTAGATGAAAAGATGTATGCGTGTGTGTTTTAAAGTTTATTTTGGGAGATCACATGCAGGAGCAGGGGAGCAACAGACCGGTAGGGGAGAGAGAATCCCAAGCATACTCTATACTGCCAGCATGTAGCCTGGCAGGGTGGCTGAACCCACGAACTGCAAGTTCATGACCTGAACTGAAACCAAGAGTTGGATGCTTAACTGATTGAGCCACCCAGGTGCCCCCATGAAAAGATGCTCTATATTATTAATCATCAGGGAAATGCAAATTAAAACCACAATGAGATACCACCCCTACCTGTTAGAATGGCTATTACCAAAAAGACTAGAAATAACAAATGTTGATGAGATTGGGAAAATTAGGGAACCCTTGTACACTGTTGATAGGAATGTAATGTGCAGCCACTATGGGGATCAATATGGAGTTTTCTCAAAAAATTAAAAATAGAACGAACATACAATTCAGCAATTCCACTTCTGGGTATTAATCTGAAGAAAATGAAAGCACTAATTTGGAAAGATAAATACACCATGCATTTGTGTATGATATTCATTGAAGCATTATTTACAATAGTCAAGATACAGAAGCAGCCTAAGTGTCCATCAGTTGATGAATGGATAAAGATGTATGTGTATATACACACAATGGAGCATTAATATTAGCTGTATAAAAGAATTAAATCTTGCCATTTTTGGTAATATAGATGGACCTCAAGAGCATTATGCAAAGGGAAATGTCAGAGACCTTTACTGTAGGATCTATGTGGAATCTAAAAACATGTCATTGTTTTTAAAAAATTTGAAGTATGGCATGGTTTTCGCAGATAAAACTTTTCGGGTTAAAAGACAACAGACAGGGGGATCTAGGTGGCTCAGTCGATTAAGCATCTGACTTCGGCTCAGGTCATGATCTCATGGTTTGTTTCGTGGGTTTGAGCCCTGCATCGATCGGGCTCTATGCTGACAGCTAGCTCACAGCTTGGAGCCTCCTTCAGATTCTGTTTCTCCCTCTCTCTCTGACCCTCCCTTACTCATGTGCGCTCACTCGCTCTCGCGCGCGCTCTCTCTCTCTCTCTCTCTCTCTCTCTCTCGGAAGTAAATAACACGTTAAAAAAAAGACAACAGACTTAAACATTTGTGATTTTAGTATCCAAGAGTCGATTTCCCAGAACCAGAGCATATAAGTAACCTTATCAGAAAATTCAGAGTGTACTTAAAACCAGAAATTCCTAGAATAGTTTAGGACTGGTTGTCAAATACTTATACAAAGGGACAGATGCTAAATATTTCAGGCTTTGTCATAATTTAGAGTCATGCAGTCTGTGGGTACAACCTCTGTTCAAATCTTAGTTCTGTCCATTGTGTTCTTTTGATCAAGCCATGTAATGATTGTATCTTGATTTCCTTATTTTTTAATGGAATGAGACTTGTTGTGAGGACCAAATGAAATAACTATAATTCCTATGAATGTTACCTTATTACGAGAATGGCTTGAGGACGGTGTTGGGAGGATTAGCAGCACAGATCTCAGAGTCACTGACCATATGGCAGCAGGGCATGCAGTTCAAACAACCTTGAATCTGATACCTAAGGCTTTGAGGAGGGAGGGATTCCACCCTAGATAGAGTTCTGGTATCTGTGATGAGCAGAGTTCTGTAAGTATATGCAGTGAAATAATGGAGGATACTCTAATAATTCTCCTAAGTGGTTAGGATCCTCTGAGTTGAATAATGTTGTAAATCCCATCTTTTAAAAAATTGTCTTCTATTCTTTTTAGATGAGACAAAGTTTTAAGTGTTACAGAGAAGGATATTAAGTGACTCAGTAAATATAAGCATAGAATTAATACCTTTTTTCCATCTTTTGTGTTCAAGTAGCATTTTTAGCAAGATTATTAATCTCTATCATGTTATAATATTCTTACAACATATATTCCAGAAACTTGTCTCACTTGCTACCTCATTCTTTAGCCCACAACATCTGTAATCCACGTCTTCCACTTTGCTTCTGTATCTGATTCTCCTAATGGTGTTCAAGTTACTTACATTGATTTTTCTGTCTCTTCATCTCAGATCCTTATCTGCTGCTCCTGATTATTACCTATGCTTTGACTTTTTTCTTGCTCACCTGGATTCTCAGCTTGCTACTTTCTCTGACTTCTGGTAACTGCCTTTCCCCCTTCTGTCTGGACACTGTTCTAGTGACTTCTGTGACTACTCACGGGCCCAAGACAGTCAAGATTTTTGTTCTTCTTACCTTTAGTTTGCTGGTAAGATTTATACATGTCTGTTAAGTTTTTCATTTAATTAATTTTGTAATGCTTATTTTTAATTGTTGCAAATCTTAAAAATATGTGGTAGGACACTGAAATTTGTGTGGTGTTGATCAAAGGAAAAAAATAGGTTCAGAAGGTATTAAGAGATAAATTAGAATCAAATAAAGGAAATAAAAGTTATATATAGATTTTCACACTCTCTAATGTCAAGAATGGATAGATAACAGGATATTTAATAACTTTTTCTTTATGTCTTTAAACTCTAGCTTTAAAAAAAAATGTTGTTTGTTTTTCTGTGACCCCTTGGAAACTCTGCTTGTATTGAGTGGTGTGCTGTGGTTACTCTTAATTCTGTTAACTTGTAATGCTAATATGGACCTCTAATAAAACAGTGTCAGTCAGATTATAAATTTCTCTTTTCTTTAATAATTGACTATTAGTAATGATTAATCAGCTCTGAATTGGTATTATTTCATTTGCATAAAGCATATTAATAGTTACTATTATAATGAATATAGCAATGTTCTTAAAGTTTGGGGGTGAAAAAGAAACCTATTTTGAGTTTTGGTATATAGTAATGAAACTTAAAAATGCCCAGCCCTCCCAGGTTAGCCTTTTACAATTTTCTTTTTTCTAATGATAATTCTGGAGATGGCTGGGATACATGAGATCAGTTTTTCTCCTGACTCTTAGATACAGTGATCATACTGCTAATTCAGAAGATGTTATTCCTCTACCTGGGAAGAGTAATGAATGCATATGCTTTTACTGCACATAATAGCAGCCCCTAATATTTCTATCCTATCACTCCCCACCCCCATGAAGGATTTAGTTTTTTACATTTTTAAGTGTTTATTTAATTTTGATAGAGAAAGAGTGCAAGTGGGGCAGGGGTAGAGAGAATGGGACGGAGGACCTGAAACGGGCTCTGTGCTGAGAGCAGCAAGCCGAATGTGGGGCTTGAACTCATGAACTGTGAAATCATGACCTGAGCTGAAGTTAGATGCTCAACCAACTGAGCCACCCCAGTGTTCCACCCGCATGAGATATTTGTGACTCCTTGGGCAGACCATGGGCTTCATTTTGCCCAGTTTCTTACTACTATGGAAATACTTGAACTTTGCAGGGCTGTTACCTGTGCAGAGTTTTGTGGGGCTCTTATTCCTGAAATCCTTTTAGAAAACCTTTGAGCTGTCTTAGGGAGTTTGAGGTCTCATTTTGAGACTCTGCACTATAGATTTATTGTATAGAAGTAAGATACAGTTAAGAAAGGCCAATTTGAAGTTTTCCTATAGGTCCTACAGTCTCCTCATGTAAAATATATAAATGAAAAGTGGTAGTATAAAATCATTCTGGCTCCCCAAATGGTAATCCCTCCTCTGTCTTATTACCGATGTGCTTAGTTAAGATTGTACCGATTCTTGAATCATTACATTTGTTACTAAGGTTTAAAATATGTAGCCAGTAGAAAAAGCTTAAGCTCTATTCTCATGTAATGAGCTTCATGTTGAAATGAATCAACAATCATTTCTGGAGGGACTTTCCCATGTAGTATTGTGTTAGACATGGGGCATATAATGGTGAATAACACCATCTCTGTCTCCAAGGATATTAGAGTTCAGTAATGGAGACTGAGAGGTAAATCAACAATTGCACTATAGTATGTTGAACTGGCAAATTACTTGATCTTCCCAAGCTTCAATTTTTTGATCTATGGTATGAGACTCTCTCATAAAGGTTGTTGAAATTAAATGAGATGGCAAATGTAAAGTGCTTAGTTTAGAGCTCAGCATATATAGCAACACCTACTATAGAAGCAGGAGAGTGACCCCTTAACCATTCTTAGGGGGAGTAGCCCAGGGGATATGAGAAGCTTCTTCGAAGAGGTGTGATGACTATGGAGCAGAATTCTGAATGAGTTATGATGGTTGTGCTTTGTTGCCTGTTTTTTTTTTTTTTTTTAATCTTTAACTGAACATTAAGCTGCATTGTTAATGTGTCTATATATATATATATATAATGTCTTGGGGGCATTAAAAGGAATGTTATACAGTTCCATTTTGTATTAAGTGTCGTCCTTAATTTTCTTTCTTTCAGAGAATTAAAGATGGTAGCCTCATTGACTCCGTTAAAACAGTCTGTGTGGGGGATCATATTGAATCCATAAATGGGGAAGACGTCATTGGGTGGCGTCACTATGATGTTGCTAAAAAGTTAAAGGAATTAAAAAAAGATGAACCTTTTACCTTGAAGTTAATAGAACCTAAGAAGGCATTTGGTAAGTTGGGTGTGTGTGTATATATATGTGTGTGAAGTGTTCCTTTCCCTGACTTGTCTTTCTAAGGGTAATGAGTACTGAGATTTGGTGCCATGTGATTTAGTATATCCATTACGGATATAGAGAAGAGAGCACTACTTACAAGGGAAACAGCTATTCAAGGAGGAAAAAATTGCTTAAAAGGACATTTTCTGAAAGACCTTTGGAGTTACAAAGTCTAATGTCTAGTGACTTTGTGGCTGTTCCAAACTCCAAGAACAGCACATTGTAATACATTCATCTTGCTGAGCAGTAAAATTTTTGATTGAGCTCTCTAACATAATTGTTGTTTGTGGACTTGAACAGCAAAAACTTTAGATACAGAATTGGCATTTAAAATAGTTATCTAGTCTATTTTAAAGACTTCCTTCAATATTTTTTCTCCATTAGCATTTTGAATTTGGCAACATGGGATGGTATGAAATTACTTCCACTTTGGTGTGACATCTGTACTTGCTTGGTTTTAGCCATGGCAGCTGTGTTCCAACTGTTCAAACCCCCAGGGCCATCTCATCTACAGGAAAATGTGCCAGCTTCTCTCTGACTACCCAGCACTATTTTAATAAGCCAAATGACGGCCTGGTGTTCATCAGTGTCGAAATGTCTTCAGTGGAATCATTCTAGGCTGCCCTTACTCATCCATGACCCCACCCAGCTTCTGATTTTTCTTTGCTCACAGAACATAAATATTCCTTATAGTTTGACCCTAATGGATATTTTCTCAGGGCAGTAAATAACAATGATGGGAGAATGCAGTGGGTCTGGGGAATTACATTTCCCCTCCCTTAAGCAAGTAAGCGACAGATACTAGCCATATGGAAATGGAAATTCTTCTTTGCTTCCAAGCAATTCTGTGCCATTTAATGGAAATACAGTGTAGATTATATTACTTGTGGGAGAGGGAATTAAACAGAAGATGTAAGAAAAGGATGCCTTGCACTGAGCAATGTATAGAATTGTTGAATCACTATATTGTACACCTGAAACTAATATAACACTGTATGTTAACTATACTGGGATTAGAATAAAAAACTAAAAAAAAAAAAAAACCAGCACTGGGGGTGGGGGAAAGAATCTCTTATTCCAGTGCTGCTCCTAGAAGGACCATTCTAGGAGACTACACTATCAATACTGTGATTCTGCAGGGTGTGCAACCCAGTTTCTGAGCACCCTTGTCACAGAGGAATGTGGGCAAACTCCGGTTTCTATCCAGCAGCTCCTTTTGAAGTGACTTTGTTTGCTAAGCAACTCCCCAAGTATCATAACCTATAAACTGATGGGATGTAAGCTGTTTGGGATATTTGATTTAGACTCTTTGTAAATCAGTCCTTCACTTAGTACAACTTAAGGGATATAATTTTTTTACACTTATCTCTAGCACATAATCTATTTTTCAGAATTAATCTTTTTCTATTTTTACCTATTGTCTGCATCAAAAACTTGTGGTCCCTGTTACTTTGTAGAAGGTTGCTGATATACCTTAACTTGGATGCTTGGTTGGTATTAGTCTTGGATGTTACAGAGGTCATTGTATTTAGCTATTACTGCTCCATGATTAGATTTTTTCCCCTTCATTACTGGAGACACATATATAGATGGTTAAACTTCTGCACTGCCTTATATGCCTGGCTACTGTTGAACCTGTCGCTATTGCTCCTATGAATTCCATGTACATATATGAGAAGACACTGGGTAAGATTTTCCTAATGGGGTATATTATTTCAGTATCCCAAGTTCTGCTGGTGCTATGGGTTAGGATATGTAGAAATTGAGTTTGGAGCAATGATAGGTTTTTATTTTCCAAAGTTACTGTTATTTAAGTCCAAACTCAATCTGCTGGTCTATATGCATTATCTCCTCTGGGTTGATACTTGACTTTGGGCAATAGCCTGGGGATTTCTCTCTCAGAAACAGGCCTTGCTGCTCTATCCTTCAGCGTTTAATTTTGCTGCTTTTTGCCTCTGGGTTAAAGGCAGTACTAGTTTGTTTCTCATTCTTTTGAGTTTATCCCAGTGCTTGGTGCTTTTCCCAGAAGGGAGTATACATCAAGAAGTACTTGGGGGATCTAGTTTCCCCCAGTTCTCTTGGTTCTAATCTTATTTTTTGCTGTTTCCTTCTTTCCTATGTCTTCTAGCATTGTCGTTGATGGATTGGTTCAAATTCATTGTCCTTCATGATTATCTGACTCTATTGTCTTGGATTCCTACAGGAGAAAAGGCCAATGTAGGTGAGGCAGAATGTTCTCATCTCTGATCAGATAGGCCATCTAGGCTGAAGTGAAGTCATTCCTAGGATTTTGCTGAAAGCTGTCAAAATAGACCATACACTCTAGTATTTTGACGTTTCCCTACCAAGTTCACTAAAGATTTAGCCTGGGGAGGCATGTGGACTGTGGAGGAGTGTATTTGGCTGCCTTGCAATGGTGTAATAAAGATGATGAACACAACTTTCAGCCATAGATAGGGGAATCCTTACTCCCATTTTCATAGGTTAGGTCCACCACATCCCACTTCTGGGGGCCATTATATGTGCCAAGATTCTTTGAGAGCTACAGAATAAACACTTTTCTAGTTATCAAAAAGTCTTTTTATTTATTTTTTTAGAAGACTATCAGGTAGGTCTCAGAAACAGACTGTGTCAGTCAAGCCTTGGGAAGGTCAGGAGCTAAGGCCATTTCAGAGATATTTGAACCAGGCACCTTTCATGGCCCTGGCTTCATTAAGTCCCTCCAGGTATTTCCTATCTTCATGTTTCTCCACTCAGGATTCAGATTCCTCAGAGAGGGAGGGGAACTGATTGGGTAATGTTCCATCTTGATAGTGGGGAAGGCAGTCTGCATGATCAATAGGCCCAGCAAAATCATGCAGGACAGTGAAGGAGAAATTTCCTTTTGGGTAGGAAAAAGTAGCAGATGTTCATTTTACCATTTCTCCCAAGCTATTACCTTGTTTAGTGCAATATGTTGGTTTTCTCTTGACTTTGATTTTTTTTTTTTTTTAAAGATTTTAAGTAATCTCTACACCCAACATGAGGCTCAGTCAACCTTACAATCCTGAGATCAGGAGTCTCATGCTTTACCAACTGAGCCAGCCAGGCACCCTTTATCACCCTTTCTTTTAGGGAAAGAATAAAAGCGACATTCTTCTTAGTGCTGGTCACCAGATTTGGAAAGGAAAACAGTCTAGATTTGGACTGTACTTCTGAGAAGGTCTTTCATTTATGGTCACCCATAAGAATCTGTCATGTTCTGGATAATCCCTTAGGCACAGAGGATACTAAGAAGACTCTAGTTCTATGCCTTTTGAGGAGCTCACAGTCTAGCAGGAGGCTGTTATTCTCTGAATTGTGTGCCCTAAAATTCATGTGTTGAAATCCTAATCTCCACTGCTTCAGAATGTGACTGTATTTGAAGAAAAGGTCTTTAAGAAGGTAATTAAGTTAATGAGATCATTAGAGTGGGCTCTGATCCAATATGACTGGTATAAGAAGAGGAAATTTGGACACACATACCCATAGTGAGAGAATGCCATGTGACCATGAAGATCTCTACGAGAGTGGTCTTAGAAGAAAACAACCTTGGTGTTGGCTTGATCTCAGACTTCTCCAAAACTGAGAAAATTATTTCTTATGTTTAAGATAGGTGGTCTTTTGTGGCTGCCCTAGGAAACTAACATAGAAGCCAATAGGCATAAATAAATCATGGTGCAAATTCTTTGATTATGGCAGTATGGGCTTCCTAATAATCTAGAAGGTATTGGTGGGGTATCTTAGCTGTCTTTTGGCCTTGAGTAGATGGCAAGAACATCCTGATGTTTTCATTCAATAGATATTTGAGCAGTTAGTACATGCTGGTCTTAGAAAATTAATTGCCGGGATAATAGTTTCTTGAGAGTCCACTGTATTGCCTGCTTGGTCTGTTAGTGAATAAGATCTAATTCTTGCCTTCAAGAAACTCAGATCTAGTAGGGGCGCCTGGGTGGCTTAGTCGGTTAAGCGTCCGACTTTCGCTTAGGTCATGATCTCGCGGTTTGTGGGTTCGGGCCCCGTGTCGGGCTCTGTGCTGACTGCCAGCTCGGAGCCTGGAGCCTGCTTCAGATTCTGTGACTCCCTCTCTCTCTGACCCTCCCCTGCTCACGCTGTCTGTCTCTCTCTCTCTCCTAGAAATAAATAAAAAAAAAAAAAAAAAAAGAAACTCAGATCTAGTGGGAAGAGATGGCTATGAAAAGAAAGAAATCCAATATAGAGTGTTAGAGGTGCTAACATGTACTGGAGGCATAAAAGTGGGAGAAATCAAGTCTATCTAAGAGTTCAGGGAAAGCTTCCTAGAGAAAGGATTTGAGCTGAATCTTAAAAGAAGTGTACTCAGTGAACAAATTAGGGAAGGCGGTCCCAGGGCTTAAGAATACAATAAGCAGGGGTGTAGAGGTATGGAGCAGTATCCTGTGTTTGGGAATACCATGTATGTCAGTATGGTTGCTGTAGAGAGTATAGGTGGTTGTGTGGCAAGAGAATGAAGCTCAAGGGTCAGTAGAGACCAAATAAGACCCTTGTATATGAAGATAAAGAGTGGGCAATGAAGGGGCTTAAGCAAGGGAGTGACATGATGAGACTTGGCTTTTAGACAGTTTGGGGACTGTGTCAAATGAGGGAAGGTAGTTCATGAGATAGTGGTCGACGAAAGCCATGAAGATTCTATTATGTAAGTTGCAGAGAGAGAAGGTGAAATCCTGAATTAAGGTAGTGACAGTAGGTATGGAGATGAGAAACAGTTCTGAGGAATAGACAGTGGTGTGCTTGAGTTATTTGTGCACATCTCTTTCAAACTCCATGTTTAGTGACCTCATTTACATCACAGACACAGACAAGTGCTGCAAGTCAAGACTTTTTTTTTTTTTTTTTTTTTTAGCCTGGATAGCTGATGGTTAAACACTTACCTGTGTACCAGTGAATATTAAGAAGGT